AATCAGCTTACTTAACATTTTCCCTACCTTCACAGTTTGAAGGCTTTCCCTGTGATCAGTTGTCAGAGCTGAAATGGACATCTCCTTGACAGTGCTAACATTCCCTCCATGGAAGTTTCTCTAGTTTTCCATTGTCCTTATTTTTAGTTGATCACTTTTTCTCCCCCCGCCCCTTCCCCCAGAGTCGCAAGAAGCAGCGTGAAGATGTGGATGTAGTGGGAGCCAGTGATGGAGAAGGAGCTATTGGTCTGAGCAATGACCACAAGAGTCGAGAACAAATGATAAATGACCGAATTGGTTACAAACCTCAACCCAAACCCAACAACCGTTCCTCCCAGTTTGGAAGCTTTGAATTCTAGAGATTTGCTGGCCTGCTACCTTCCACGGGCAATTGAGTATTGGACCCTGATGGGGTGTTCATCCCAGACAGTGCTGGCAGAGATGTTCAAAGGCTGTTTGGGTAGCTCTAAAGTTGGCTGGGATGGACCTGTGTTTGCCAATGTGTCTTGGGCTTTAATAGGGGAAAGTGCCTTTCCCTAAGGCTGGTGGGATGTGTTTTTAACCTGACTTGTTACTGTACCTTCAGAAACCCCTCTGCCCAGCCACTTTGTTTTAAATAAATATTTTTTTTAAATGAGACGCTCTTAATGTATCATAAAATGCACAGAGGGGCAGGTAAAGAGGAATGGAAAACGTTAACAGCAGAGTTGGCCTCCTGTGGGGGAGAAAAATAGGAATCAACCGTGGCCACTGTCCCCGTGGGGATTTGCACAGAGGCAAAGCTCTGCCTCCATGGAGCAATCTTTTTGGTGTTCTTAAAAACCCAGCTCCAAGTGGTGCAGGTGTGTGAGCCCAGGGGAGTAATTCAGAGAGGTGTCACTCACATTTTTATGGACTGGGTACCTGTGAGTGAAAGCCTCAGTATCTCTGCACACCAGGGGGAGGCAGGGCAAGCTTCCCTAGACACTGCGCTCATACAGCTGCCTTACTGTTTACTCCCAAGTTGTCGAATCCTTGGCCTCTCCTGAGCGTGACACGAAGGGAGCCACGATGGCTGCTGTGTGGATTGCTGGTTTACAAGGAAATGGACCAGGCTTCAACTAATTTCACAGAAGTTATTTCATAGCTGCATTCAGACAGCTACTGCCAAGCTGAGGTGGATTTGAGGCTCAAATCCCTTTCACAATCCAATCTCCCTCTCCAAATACTTCCAACAATATAAATGGGAGGCTGGGGAGGTGACTAACTTTGTGGGCTTTCTGATGAATAAGTTTGACTTGGACAATGGAAGTAGTAAATAATTAAAAGCCAGACAGATTAACTAGGCTGTAGCTGTTTGGAGAGGATTTTTAGAGTGCTGAGGGGCGTTGGCTGTAAAGAGCAAAGGCCACCAATCGTAGCTGCATAGCTTAATGTCACAGACAAAAAATACCCCTAAATGGATTGTTTTCTGGCAGAGGCTGATCAGCAAAATATACAGGTCTGAGACGAAGGTTAGCAGTGCTAGGGTTAACTGGGTGCATAGCCAGCACCTGTACCTGAGTGAGGTCATGGTCAGCTAAAGGGATGGAAAGGAGTACTTGTGGCACCTTAGAGACTAACCAATTTATTTGAGCATAAGCTTTCGTGAGCTATAGCTCACTTCATTGGATGCATACTGTGGAAAGTATCAAAGATCTTTTTATACACACAAAGCATGAAAAAATGGGTGTTTACCACTACAAAAGGTTTTCTCTCCCCCCACCCTACTCTCCTGCTGGCAATAGCTTATCTAAAGTGATCACTCTCCTTACAATGTGTATGATAATCAAGGTGGGCCATTTCTAGCACAAATCCAGGGTTTAACAAGAACGTCTGGGGGGCGGGGGTAGGAAAAAACAAGGGGAAATAGGTTACCTTGCATAATGGACTTAGCCACTCCCAGTCTCTATTCAAGCCTAAGTTAATTGTATCCAATTTGCAATGTGGCTGATGTTATTAGGCCCTGCGATGGTGTCCCCTGAATAGATATGTGGGCACAGTTGGCAACGGGCTTTGTTGCAAGGATAGGTTCCTGGGTTAGTGGTTCTGTTGTGTGGTATGTGGTTGTTGGTGAGTATTTGCTTCAGGTTAGGGGGCTGTCTGTAGGCAAGGACTGGCCTGTCTCCCAAGATTTGTGAGAGTGTTGGGTCATCCTTTAGGATAGGTTGTAGATCCTTAATAATGCGTTGGAGGGGTTTTAGTTGGGGGCTGAAGGTAACGGCTAGTGGCGTTGTTATTTTCTTTGTTAGGCCTGTCCTGTAGTAGGTGACTTCTGGGAACTCTTCTAGCTCTATCAATCTGTTTCTTCACTTCCGCAGGTGGGTATTGTAGTTGTAAGAATGCTTGATAGAGATCTTGTAGGTGTTTGTCTCTGTCTGAGGGGTTGGAGCAAATGCGGTTGTATCGCAGAGCTTGGCTGCAGACAATGGATCGTGTGGTGTGGTCAGGGTGAAAGCTGGAGGCATATAGGTAGGAATAGCGGTCAGTAGGTTTCCGGTATAGGGTGGTGTTTATGTGACCATCGTTTATTAGCACTGTAGTGTCCAGGAAGTGGATCTCTTGTGTGGACTGGACCAGGCTGAGGTTGATGGTGGGATGGAAATTGTTGAAATCATGGTGGAATTCCTCAAGGGCTTCTTTTCCATGGGTCCAGATGATGAAGATGTCATCAATATAGCGCAAGTAGAGTAGGGGCGTTAGGGGACGAGAGATGAGGAAGTGTTGTTCTAAGTCAGCCATAAAAATGTTGGCATACTGTGGGGCCATGCAGGTATCCATAGCAGTGCTGCTGATTTGAAGGTATACATTGTCCCCAAATGTAAAATAGTTATGGATAAGGACAAAGTTCAGCCACCAGGTTGGCCGTGACATTATCAGGGATAGTGTTCTTGACGGCTTGTAGTCCATCTTTGTGTGGACTGTTGGTGTAGAGGGCTTCTACATCCATAGTGGCCAGGATGGTGTTATCAGGAAGATTACCACTGGATTGTAATTTCCTCAGGAAGTCAGTGGTGTCTCGAAGGTAGCTGGGAGTGCTGGTAGCGTAGGGCCTGAGGAGGGAGTCTACATAGCCAGACAATCCTGCTGTCAGGGTGCCAATGCCTGAGATGATGGGGCGCCCAGGATTTCCAGGTTTATGGATCTTGTGTAGTAGATAGAATATCCCAGGTCGGGGTTCCAGGGATGTGTCTGTGCGGATTTGATCTTGCGCTTTTTCAGGGAGTTTCTTGAGCAAATGCTGTAGTTTCTTTTGATAACTCTCAGTGGGATCAGAGAGTAATGGCTTGTAGAAAGTGGTGTTGGAGAGCTGCCGAGCAGCCTCTTGTTCATATTCCGACCTATTCATGACGACGACAGCACCTCCTTTGTCAGCCTTTTTGATTATGATGTCAGAGTTGTTTCTGAGGCTGTGGATGGCATTGTGTTCTGCACGGCTGAGGTTGTGGGGCAAGTGATGCTGCTTTTCCACAATTTCAGCCCGTGCACGTCGGCGGAAGCACTCTGTGTAGAAGTCCAGTCTGCTGTCTTGACCTTCAGGAGGAGTCCACCTAGAATCCTTCTTTTAGTAGTGTTGGTAGGGAGGTCTCTGTGGATTAGTATGTTGTTCAGAGGTATGTTGGAAATATGCCTTGAGTCGGAGACGTCAAAAATAGGATTCTAGGTCACCACAGAACTGTATCATGTTCGTGGGGGTGGAGGGGCAGAAGGAGAGGCCTCGAGATAGGACAGCTGCTTCTGCTGGGCTAAGAATATAGTTGGATAGGTTAACAATATTGCTGGGTGGTTTGAGGGAACCATTGCTGTGGCCCCTTGTGGCATGTAGTAGTTTAGAAAGTTTAGTGTCCTTTTTCTTTTGTAGAGAAGCAAAGTGTGTGTTGTAAATGGCTTGTCTAGTCTTAGTAAAGTCCAGCCACGAGGAAGTTTGTGTGGAAGGTTGGTTTTTTATGAGAGTATCCATTTTTGAGAGCTTGGAGTTCAGGCCACAAGTAAGTGACAGAGAGAGAAAGCTAGGTTACAAAAACTGAAGGAACTGAGTCTCAGTGTACAAGATTGACACTCTACTCCCTACTGGCTGAGCCTGGGGACAGAAGGCAGGACATGGGCCCTCAGAGACAAAGTTAACATCTCTGTCACCTGTCCAAGGTTGTTTCCCACTAGCTTTTGATGTATTAGCCATTCTTGTTCCAAATAGCTGAAGTGATGGAGTAACCACCATTTTTTGTACTATATACTTTTGTACTACCATTTTTTTCCCTGTCTTAGTTTTGTCCTGCTACTCCTAGTTATAAACTCATCTATCATAGTAAATTCCTCTCCAGCATTGCTGTTCACCCACTTGAAACAGCTGTAGATTTATAGGTCCTCTGCTCAGGATGTATATAGAAAGCAGATTTTGGAGGAGGTTGTGCTAACTACTGTTCCTCTACTTGACTTTTCCCATCCATTGTAAGCTTACATGAACAGAAAGTTACCCCCTTTGGAGGCTGTTTTTCATGTGCTGGTACTGGTACTCAAGTGCCCCAGTAGATGCTGTTCCTTTTCTCCATTCTTAAACACAGCAAGCCTGGTACTCAAAGCCTCTGCAGTGTACTTGTCCTGTGAAGGTGGGTCGACTGGAAAGGGGCTGGGGATAAGGCCACGTTGAGCAGTCTAGGTGCTGACTCCATAGGCCACTTACAGCTGAGTAGTTACTCCTTGTGGAGGCTGGTGGTGCCTGCTCTGGCTCAGTGCCCAGCTTCACCTTTTCCATGTTGGAGGTATATGTTCCAAGACACTTCCACCCCAGTAAAATGCAGTCTACTTTATTGACTAATTATATATAGGAGGAGCTCTATTTACATTTCAAACAAGTTGTTTCCAGAACAGTGAAATTAAAAATAATATCATGGTCCCCTGTAACCAACCCTGTGATACAGCTGGAATCAGCTATAGTTCAACTAAAAGGCAGTACCCCCAGTTGTTTCCTAAAGGCACTTAGATAAAAAAGCAACAAAAAGACAGTTTATTTGCAACAGAATTCAGAGCCTAGGAGATGAGTGAACACTCTGTAATTCATCCAAGGTCACAATCAGGAGGTACAGTCTGAAAACAACATACTTGCATACAGCCCACCATACACTATCTTTCAGCATGTTAAATACATGTATCATTTAAGAACAATTATTCGTCATTGGAGGGGGAGGCTTTCCTCCAATAGAAGCCTAATGTCAGCATCAGGAGGTCTGCCTCAAACACTCCTGCAAAAGATTCCAGGCAGGAAAAGGGGTGTTACTAGAAGGTGCTCTAGGGAGGTTGGCAAATCAACCAGCCTGGGCCAGGAACACAGGGATGTTAGGACTGATGTACCATGTGGAGATTGTAACCCAGTGAGGGACGTGGCTCTGTCAGTTTATTTTATAAACACACCACTGGATTGTCAATTTACATTTAACCACAAAGGGTAAAAACTGGCCATGGATTGAAGGCTCATGAGAAGCCCACAGAGATAATAGGGGCACACTCATTAAGTGAGCCTCAAGGTTAAGACTTGGCCCTGGCCACTCTTAGCAAACTTGTGAAACGCAATGATTCAGGCTAGTAAAGTTTGTGGAGATTGTGAGAGAGCAGAGTCTCATCAAGCTGAGAAAGCATGCTGCAGCCAGGGTAGGGTAGACAGGCACAATTCATGTATGGGGGATGGGGAAGAGTAGTTTTGAATTGTACTCATTACCGATGCGCCCCTCTCTTCCTCTCCCAGCCTTGGCTTGGCTTGACTAGCACCAGAACATACTTCACCCACTTGAGCCAGTGCCAGCCCCTCTGCTCTCAAATGCAAACTGCCTTCTCCCAAACTCCCCAACCTGAGGGAGTGGAGGGTGAGTAACGTCACATTCAGACAGGAGTCTGAGGAGATAGGCCCAGGCAGAGAGAATAAGGAGCGAGACCCCATGAGTCTGAACCATACCAGTGCTCAGGAACACTGGGAACCAGTTTCCATGTCACATGCACCCAACTAGCTGGCTTCCAAAGAGTTACACATTTCATAAACAGCAAGAGGAAGAATAGGCCAGTGGTTAGGGCACTAGCTTGGGATACCAGGGACATGGGATCAATTTCCTGCTCTGCCATAGACATGCGACTTTCAGCAAGGCCCTCAGGCCCAAATGCACAAAGGTAGGTGGGGTTCTAACTTCCAGTGATTCCAATGGAAGTTAGGACTCTAAACACCTTTGTGGATCTGGGCCTGAGTTCCCCAGCTGTAAAGTAGGGATAATAGCACTGTCCTGTCCTATAGCATAGGAGGAGGCATGCAGAGATGAAGGTCATAATATACATAAGATTGTTCTTGCTGGATCTTTTTCCTAAGAAGACCTGTAGCTATGTCCCAGAACATGATAGAAAAGCTAACAGAACAAGGGACAGAATTGTATAGGAAGTGTCACAATGCTTGGATAACACAATGATTATACACCCCATGAACACAGGTTAATTTGCTCACCTGAAACTGAGAGCCACAAATGTGGCTAGAAGGAGTGATGGGTGAGGAAAGATTAAGCAGCTGGGGGTTGTCACGTTTGGAAAGAGTCTATGTCTAAGGGTGTATGAAATAACCAACATCGGCATGAAAACCACCTAGTCACTGCGTCCCATAAGAAAAAGGAACATCTCTAGACTGATCAAAGGAGACTGGTTCACACAGAGCTGAACTATGGAATGCACTCATGCTACTAAGCTCAAGGGTCAGTGTGTAGAAGGATTAGAAACCAGACCCTGTCATCAGCTGTTTTAGGTTTTGCCAAAAAGCACTGAAGTTACTCAAACTTCAGGACATGGAACTGGGGGGCAGAAAGGACCCCCCCACCCCACACACACACACACACAATCCCCCCTCTGAAGTGCTATAGCAGGAGAGAATTGTTTGAAGTATATTAGGAGGCTTTTTCCTTCCATGATGCAGCTGGTACAGGCCATTGCTGGAGGCAGGACATCAGTCTGGCTGGAACTTTACTGCACTACTGTACCCTACCTAGTTTTCACTGTACATTAGTTACTCCTCAGGAGGCCACTCCTCCCACATCATCTTGAACATTTATTTGGGTCTGGAAAACACCAGGAGTGTAAAGGGAAAAACCTGCACTGCCAGGCATGGAAGAATGGAGCCAGAGGTCTTCCTTATCTCCCATCAAAATCCAAGAAGGGGTGGTCATATCTGATCCCCTTGATTTTCATTCACATGTTGGTCAGCTACATGAAACATCAAGAGCTGCAACTAAGTTCAGTGGGTGTTTGATTTTGGGGTAGACATTTGGTTTGACTTAGATTAGTCTCCCTTTGCTCCAGTTTGTGCTGCTCTACAAAGATGAAAAGCACAAATACCTTGTATCATCAAACCAGGGTCCCAGCTTTTTGAAAGAGTGGGTGATCGCAACGAGAGCTCAGGGCAGTAGGCCTGCCAGTGGCAATGCATGATAGTTCTGAAGTTTTCTTCTAAATGCTGTAGAGGAAGGTAGGCTTTTGTAGGGCAGTACACCTCGAGAACCCAATCAGAGAGCCATTGTACTAGGCCTGCACATGCTCACACACCCTGCCCCAGACAGCTTACAGGCTAAGGGAGCTTTGGACTCTCTGTCTCTCTCTGTACTGAAAGCTGCCAGAGCATGTGAACGTAGAGATACTCTTCTCAAAAGGACACACTGTTTATATGCTGCAGCCTAGTTCTCACGTTATCTTGCCATAATCTCCCACCTATACCCCGCCCCCCAGCTCCATTTATCACCCACCAGTCCTGGCGCTGTCCTCCTCCTCTCCAGCGATTCAGGCACTTAGAGACTCTACAAGGAGTGCACAGTGACAAAAGAAACGCTACTGCCAGTGCATCACAGCTGAGCCCATAGCTTTCTGGGACATTAACTGCTGTCAGCAGTTGCTTAAAGTAGCAGCAAACCACAATGTGCTGAGAGGTCAGTGGCTATTTGGACACGACCAGAACATGAGCTGGAGTTCATCTTGGGACTGATTCTAAGGCCGCATTGACCATGCATCCCCTGGGCCAAACTAGCTTTTTTTCTTCTTTGCCTCTACCATTTCTCACCCTCTGGTGATTTTATTTAATTTCAGAGCATCTGGGGATAGTAGAGTTTGTGTGGCAGGCTGCTCAAGACCACACAGCCCTGCCTCTCACATCACATTCAGGGTCTGTATAACAAATGGCATTTCTGTAGCATCTTTCATCCCAAAGTATTTTACAAATGAGCTAATCAGCTCTGAATAGCAGCAGTTCTCCAACTTTCCCATTCGTTCCATGACACTCTTTGGGAGAGACCCAGGCCCACCTTTCCCACAGCCAGGTCAAGAAGGGCTCCAAGGGCCCAGGATTGTCCTTACGCCACAGTATGAGAACCAACAATATACAGAGATCATGTCAAGAACCTGAGCAGCCATTTCACACCACACGACCACTTAGGACAGGAGATAAGGGGTAAAATAAACAGTGAAGCTGCAAGGGGGATTTGAGGAGGCAGAACAGCATTTCTCCCATCAGAATCAGGCCATCACACTCAGCTAACAGCCCACCTCCTACCCAGAAAACAAGGGCTCTTTAACCATCGGTCAGGAACTCAACTTTACATCTCATCTCTAGCACCCTAGCAACACAGAATTCCCTAGTTACACAGTTTAGCTGTGACTCAGAGGAAAGACCACCAACTATTGAATCAACCCTGCTGCCCACAGCACCTGGGTATTGCCAGGGATCTCCCAGCAAGACCTGAACCCTGCCTTGTTTGTGAGATCTGTTGGGCTCCTAGCACGAGGGGCCTGGCTGGAGGGTGGGAAGCGCTCTTCTGGCTGCTATCCAGCTATCCAGCTCTGACATTGGCATTGGTTGCTCCAGCACAGCCATGTTGAGAAGTTCCAGGTTTGGTGATTATGACAAAGAAGAGTCCTCAGGGTTGAAATTCCTTTTACTGACCCTACAGTCTCTTATCCCCCAACCCTCATCTAAGAGGAGCAAGTTTTAAGGCTGCTATATCCTCCCTATACAAGTTTGGTTCTTTACCTGCCAGCCAAGGAATCTCCTCTCCAGAGGAGCTTTCTTCGTGTTACTTGGTTTAACCGGAAAGAAAAAAGAAATCACAATATTATAAACAGTCAGAACAATAGAGCCAGCTGCTGACAATTTTCACGGAATGACAAATCTGAGTCTCTAACAGCACATGGCTGCAAATCGAGATGAAATCAGCAGGGCTTCAATGCTTTATTTAAAGTCTCTTTCTGCTACTTAAAGATGTGATTGCTGATTTGCATTTGGGAGTACATTTCCATGATCAGTAAGCCAAAGTGGCCAGTTTGAAATGTTCCTGCTGTTCATAGCTGAGCAGAGCAAGGATACAGCAGAAAACCAGCAACATTAGACACACCTGTATGCTTGAAAGTGGCCACAGGCTGGCCCAGATACACATAGATACAACATGCCCACAGGAGTTAATAAGAATGGTGCACACTTCTCGGAGCAGACCTGAGCCCATTAGGCCTCTGGTGATTTACCAGCAGCACTCTGTAATTTTGTGGACAGAATTTTCTATAAACTGTCCCAGAGGCTGTGGCTGGCCCAGAGGTCAGTCATATCCCCGCCTCCCTCCCCCAGGCATTAAGCACAGATTTTTTTAGAAAATTAAAACAGCCATTGTCACATACTGGCGCCTTTATCGAACATTAATAAAACCCCCCAGATCTGAGCATTTATTCTTTAAAAATAAAATGTTTTAAAAGGACATTTCAATAATCTTGTAAATTTCTACTTGCTATGTAATTTCAGTCAGGGAACAATCTACAAATGCAACATAAATTGTGGTCAAGGGTGGCTCTGGTGTAACCTCAAGAGCTGGTCCATCTAGTGTGGGTGCCAGGTTGCTTGGCGGGAAATCCCCAACACCAGGAATCCCTGTGAGCTGCCCAGGCAGTGTCCTGACTAGGACATTGGTGGTCCAACACACACTGATTTTCGTGGTTATTGTTGATTCTCAGTCAGCCGGGGAATGATCCCCATTCTCCTGGTGACTGCAGTTAGAGTGAGGGAAGGGGTAGAGAGAGGCTCTGACACTGTGTCCAGCATTAATGGCAGTGCTCCGTGATATCCACAACAACTGCCTTTTTCCAGCTGAAGAGGAAGTAGCCAGTGCCTGCGCCTGCTGCCACGGCTATGCAGAGGTATGCGTTGTAGGTCATGAAGATCAGCATGAGGAAGTAACTGACCACCACTTGTATGATGTGCAGCACTGTCTGCAGGAGATGAGGGAAGCTCAGCATCTGTTGTCTGAGGAATCAGAAAAGGATGACCAGTCAGTGAACAAGAGTCACAGGATGGGAAATGCAGGGTCCCCAGAGAGAGAAAATAACCCATGGGCTGGAAATGCCAAGGTGGCCATGAAACACCAAGAGAGATGGGACAGTAAAGGGCAGAGATCTCCTGTCACGTGTATTTGTCATAGATGACTGCAACGTCCTCCATGAAGCTGGCTGCTTTGTAATAAAAGCCGGTTATTCCTTGATAAGGAATAATGATGTTCACTGGGTGATCAAAGCTGCTAAGGTTTGAGGGTCAAAATCATTCCAGCTCGTTTTACTACCTGGCCCTCACTGCTAGCCACACAGGGCAGCTTGTCTGCAAACAGAGGCCTTGACCACTCATGGGCACAGAAAGATCCTTTGGTGCCTTATGTAAGAATAGACAGAGAGTCTAGTGTCCTAGCCAAATTCAAATCTGGAAACAGCATCCCACCTCCCTATGAGCCTCCTCTGCTTTTATTCTTTGTTTCCCCTTCGTTAAAAGGGCCTCACATGGCTGGTGAAGAGTAGCTGTTGCATTCCCTCCCCCGGCCCGAAAAGGGAGCTGCAGGTTCCCTGTATTTATAGTTTGTATAGGATGAAGCATGTACAAGCATGAAGTTAGTTTTACTGCAGAGGACTATTTGATCTGCCTAGAATTTTCTATGTTTCAGTTTTCCTTGTGTTTTCTGCTGAGATGAGCAGCGCTTGTGTTAGAAGGAAAGTGGATTCTTACCCGACTGTTTTGTGCGTCTCCATCAAAGTGGTGCCATTTGGTCCCGGGACAGGCATGGAGTTGTAGCGAATGCTGACCTGTGATTTACGGAGCAGACTCTCCCGGGCTATTTTGAGGCCCTCATAAAACATGGCTAGGAAGAAGACTGCGACGAAAGCACCAGCCATTTCTGATAGACAGGAAAGGACAGCACAAGGTTACTGACTGCACAGAATGAGTCATCTGCTTCAAGCACACAGAGAAAAGCACCTAACCATGCAACAAACAGCTCCCACCACACAGGCCACAGGGAGTGCGACGTCCAATTCCATAAACCGAAACTCTCAACCACATTCGCTAAGGCTTGTGCAACACCTGAATAGTGACACAGAAGTCATCTCATCACCTTCAGCCTTTGTGCCCCAATTTCCAACCTGTTAACCACCTTGCCCTGGACACTCTAGGAACCTCTGACCTCATGGGATGGGGTCATTCAGACAAGACTGCTAAGTAGCAAGCCTTTGGTTTGGCCTGGGGTGAGCAGCAAGTCAGCCGATTTGCTAACATAGCTGTACTAACCTCCAGATGTATTGATCACCAATCCAGAAAACAGCAGCGGCACGTTCTTGTAGCTGAAGTGGAAAGTCATGTCCTGGCCAAGACAGAAAAATCATTTAAAACCTCAGCAAGATGCCTAAGCTCCAAGGGAGGGAGGGAGAGCTTCACAGAACACAGACAAGCCCTTAGGAAGTTAAATGGAAGGACTTTGTGCCGATAGAACTAGAGTTAACCTCAGGGGGAGTCCATTCTGGTCAGTAACTAAGTACATAGTTGAAATAACATTCTACAGCAGCGGTGGGCAAACTACGGCCCGCAGGCCACATCCGGCCCACAGGACCATCCTGCCTGGTCCTTGAGCTCCTAGTCAGGGAGGCTAGCCCCCTGGCCCCTCCCCTGCTGTCTCCCCTCCCCCGCAGCCTCAGGCGGCTGGCTCCGTCTGGGCAGCGGGGTTGCGAGCTCCTGCTCCCGAGCAGCATGGTAAGGGGGCGGGGGCAGCAGGGGGTGGGTTGGATAAGGGGTAGGGGGACCCGGAGGCAGTCAGGGGACAGGGATCAAGAGGTGGAGTTTCTGGGGGGGGGGGTGTGCAGTCCAGGGACAGGGGGGGTTGGATAGGGGGTGGGAGTGTGGATAGGGGTCAGGGAGCACGGGGGTTGGATGGGGGGGGCAGTTTGGGGCAGGCGGTCCTGGGAGGGGGCAGTCAGGAGACAAGGAGCAGGGGAGGGTTGGATGGATCGAGGGTTTTGAGGGGGGCAGTCAGTGGGCGGGAAGTGGGAGGGGGTGAATAGGGGGCAGGGGCCAGGCTGTTTGGGGGGCACAACCTTCCCTACCCGGCCCTCCATACAGTTTCACACCTCGATGTGGCCCTCAGGCCAAAAAGTTTGCCCACCCCTGTTCTACAGCAAAACTAGTGTAGCAGAAACACAGACCGCAGTGCTAGGTATTGCTGTGCACACTCCGGTTACAGCTGTAACTCGTCGCTTGTCCATTTGTAACAATTTTAATTGAAAAGTCACTGGATTTTACTCTAAAAGTTCTCAAGCAGCATTTTTCTTACTTTGCCTATATGTAAATTTCAATCATCATCAATGAATTTCTTTTGTCAGTTTGTGTGTGCACGATGATTAAAAATTATCCATAAAAATCTCACCCTTGAAAGCCTACCTATAACTTAAATAAAGGGCTTTTATTGTTTTGTTAATTTCTTTTTAAAAAGTGATTCCACATAGGTCATTAACATGTGCCCAGTGTGTTGTCTGAAGATGCAAGGTTCTGTGGCGATGCACCATTGCTTTATTTTTCAGGGTTAAAAAGATCTAGTGGATTTTCTCCCCTCTTTGAATCTTACTGGCAGATGTTTTCAGGTTATTAAAAGATGACAATGTAAATTAAACAGAGAGAGAGGATGCTTCTTCTTCAGGCAACTAACAGAAGTTACTAGATCACAGGCCCTGGTTCTCATAGGGGACTTCAATCACCCCGATATCTGCTGGGAGAGCAATACAGCAGTGCACGGACAATCCAGGAAGTTTTTGGAAAGGGTAGGGGACAATTTCCTGGTGCAAGTGCTGGAGGAACCAACTAGGGGCAGAGCTCTCCTTGACCTGCTGCTCACAAACCGGGAAGAATTAGTAGGGGAAGCAAAAGTGGATGGGAACCTGGGAGGCAGTGATGATGAGATGGTCGAGTTCAGGAGCAGAAGAATGTGGACCCTGGACTTCAGAAAAGCAGACTTTGACTCCCTCAGATAACTGATGGGCAGGATCCCCTGGGAGAATAACATGAGGGGGAAAGGAGTCCAGGAGAGCTGGCTGTATTTTAAAGAATCCTTATTGAGGTTGCAGGGACAAACCACTCCATGTGTAGAAAGAATAGTAAATATGGCGGGTGACCAGCTTGGCTAAACAGTGAAATCCTTGCTGATCTTAAACACAAAAAAGAAGCTTACAAGAAGTGGAAGACTGGACAAATGACCAGGGAGGAGTATAAAAATATTGCTCATGCATGCAGGAGTGAAATCAGGAAGGCCAAATCACACTTGGAGTTGCAGCTAGCAAGGGATATTAAGAGTAACAAGAAGGGTTTCTACAGGTATGTTAGTAACGAGAAGGTGGTCAAGGAAAGTATGGGCCCCTTACTGAATGCGGGAGGCAACCTAGTGACAGAGGATGTTGAAAAAGCTAATGTACTCAATGCTGTTTTTGCCTCTGTCTTCACGAACAAGATCAGCTCCCAGACTACTGCACAGGGCAGCACAGCATGGGGACGAGGTGATGAGCCCTCCGTGGAGAAAAGTGGTTCAGGACTATTTAGAAAAGCTGGACAAGCACAAGTCCATGGGGCCGTATGAGCTGCATCCGAGGGTGCTAAAAGAGTTGGGGGGTGTGATTGCAGAGCATTGGTCATTATCTTTGAAAACTTGTGGCGATCAGGGGAGGTCCTGGATGACTGGAAAAAGGCTAATGTAGTGCCCATCTTTAAAAAAGGGAAGGAGGAGGATCCTGGGAACTACAGGCCAGTCAGCCTCACCTCAGTCTCTGAAAAATCATGGAGCAGGTCCTCAACGAATCAATTCTGAAGCACTTAGAGGAGAGGAAAGTGATCAGGAAGAGTCAGCATGGATTCACCAAGGGCAAGTCATGCCTGACTAATCTAAGTGCCTTCTATGACGAGATAACTGGCTCTGTGGATGAGGGGAAAGCAGTGGACGTGTTATTCCTTGACTTTAGCAAAGCTTTTGATATGGTCTCCCACAGTATTCTTCCCAGCAAGCTAAAGAAGTATGGGCTGGATGAATGGACTATAAGGTGGATAGAAAGTTGGCTAGATCATCGGGCTCCATGTCTAGTTGGCAGTCGGTATCAAGCAGAGTGCCCCAAGGGTCGGTCCTCAGGCCGGTTTTGTTCAGGATCTTCATTAATGATCTGGAGAATGGCATGGACTGAACCCTCAGCAAGTTTGCAGATGACACTAAACTGGGAGGAGTGGTAGGTATGCTGGAGGGTAGGGATAGGATACATAGGGACTTAGACAAATTAGGGGATTGGGCCAAAAGAAATCTGATGAGGTTCAACAAGTCCAGAGTCCTGCACTTAGGACGGGAGAATCCCATGCACCGCTACAGACTAGGGACTGAATGGCTCAGCAGCAGTTCTGCAGAAAAGGACCTAGGGGTGACAGTGGACGAGAAGCTGGATATGAGTCAACAGTGTGCCCTCGTTGCCAAGAACGCTAATGGCATTTTGGGCTTCATAAGTAGGAGCATTGCCAGCAGATGGAGGGACGTGATCCTTCCCCTCTATTCGACATTGGTGAGGCCTCATCTGGAGTACTGTGTCCAGTTTTGGGCCCCACACTACAAGAGGGATGTGGAAAAATTGGAAAGAGTCCAGTGGAGGGGAACAAAAATGATTAGGGGACTGGAGCACATGACTTTTGAGGAGAGACTGAGGGACCTGGGATTATTTAGTCTGCAGAAGAGAAGAATGAGGGGGGATTTGATAGCTGCTTTCAACTACCTGAAAGGGGGTTCCAAAGAGTATGGATCTAGACTGTTGTCAGTGGTACCAGATGACAGAACAAGGAGTAATGGTCTCAAGTTGCAGTGGGGGAGGTTTAGGTTGGATGTTAGGAAAACCGTTTTTACTAGGAGGGTTGTGAAGCACTGGAATGGGTTACCTCGGGAGGTGGTGGAATCTCCTTCCTTAGAGGTTTTCAAGGTCAGGCTTGACAAAGCCCTGGCTGGGATGATTTAGTTGGGGATTGGTCCTGCTTTGAGCAGGGGGTTGGACTAGATGACCTCATGAGGTCCCTTCCAAGCCTGATATTCTCTGATGCACATTTCAGCACTAAAACAAATTATGTTCAGGAGCAGGTTTTCTGGTAAACTGTCAATTAAGCTTAAGGCCTTGTCGACACTTAAAATGCAGGAATGGTGCTTCAGTGAAGACACCACCTAGGCCAACAGGAGGGATTCTCCTGTCAGCACCTCCCGGAGGGGCTGTAGCTATGTCAATGGGAGAATTCTCCCATCAACCTAGCATTGTCTACAAGGGGGTTAGTTTGGTTTAACCACCTAATTTCTTCGAGAAGACCAGGCCTAATTCAAGCCAGTCACAGCCCCAAGGGAGGTGAAAAACAGAATCAGTAAGAAGCAAACCCCATCATACTACAGGGACAGAGAAGGGGGGTACAAGCAATGGCCTGATTCTACATCTGATCTGCCCACATGGTAAGGGTTGCCAGGCATATGGTTTTTGACCAGAAAAGGGACCCTGGCAGCTCTGGTCAGCACTGCATCCCTCTGGCTCCTAGGTGTAGGGGCAGCCACGGGGGCTTTGCCCACTGCGCCCACCCTGAGTGCCAGCTCGGCCAATGGGAGCTGTGGGGGTGGCGCCTGCAGGAAGGGGCAGTGCTCAGAACCACCTGGCTGCCCCTAAGCCTAGGCTAGGAGCCAGAGGGAGATTCCAGTAGCTTCCTGGGAGTCACCTGAGGTAAGCACCCCCTGGAGTCCATGCCCCAACCCCCTGCTCCAGCCCTGAACTCCTCCTGTACCCAAACTCCCTCCCAGAGCCTGCATCCCACACCTCAACCTCCTGCCCCAGCCTGGAGCCCCCCCCTTCACTCCAAACTCCTCAGCCCCAGCCCAACCCCAGGGCCTGCACCTCCAGCCTAGAGCCTTCACCTCCTCCTGCACCCCACCCCCTGCCCCAGACCGGAGCCCCCTCCCGAACCCCTGATTTCTGGCCCCATTCCAGAGCCCGCTCCCCCAGCTGGAGCCCTCACCCCCTCCCACACCCCAACCCCCTGCCCCAGCTCGGTGAAAATGAGCAAGTGTGGGGGAGAGTGAGCAATAAAGGCAGGGAGGAATGGAGTGAGCGGGGGCAGGGCAAGGGCGTTCGGTTTTCTGCAAATAGAAAGCTGGCAATCCTACCACAAAGTGCCCCACTGGAGTCAGCACTGTGTAGGTAAAGAGTTCTACTAGCAACAATCGGTGTCAACTACAGCTGCGGAACACTGCTCACCAAAACCAAATCTAAAATGGCACTCAGTGAGGACCTCACAGAAGAAATGATTGTAGGGGACAACCTTGGT